AGTAGCTGAATAAATCTGATTATACGTCTCATGCTGCAAACAGGCAGGTTAGATTACGTAGCCATCTTGGGGACAATGAGCCCACTGAAATCATCTAGCTCTCCTTGCTCTGTAACTTCTCCGGCGCTGGGTGGGGGTTGGCTTGGAGAAAAAGGGGAGATAGAAATTGAGCAGAGAAATACTCTGATGGTCAGTGTCCCCGCTGTGCCAGGACATCTGGCGGGGAAGTATGGGGAGGGTCTGCCCAGGGCAGAGACTGTCCATTTTGGGTTCTTTCCCGAGTGCCTGACCGCGCACTGTGGCGGTGGTGGCCTCCCTCTCCCGCAACAGGGCTCTGCACAGGCCAGGCTGGAGCAGCTTGCTGTGGGAAGCAGCCTGCTGGGCCCCGGCTTGACTGTTCTAGCTCCACCTTCTGCCTTCCTGCGCTCTCTCCTTCTCAGCAAGGGCACTGCCGTGGATAGGCCGGGACCCTCCAGCAGTCGCCTTTCTTTGGCCGAGCCCATGTGTTCTCCTAGCTGGCCCTGGCTGTGGTGTGTGCGCGTTTCCAGGGCAAAGCTGTGTCCCCGGAATACACACCACGGCAACGGATACCAGGAGAAACCTGCAGGAAGCTGGTTCCGGGGAACCGAGACCCTCTTTCCTTCTCCCAAAGGTAACTCAGGGCGTAGGTATCTCCTTTCCCAAGTCCCAAACTCCGCTCTCAGGAGAGGGTCAGACAGCTCACCCAGAGGGGTCAGCGGCTGATGGGACTTAAGTGGTCTGGAGAAATTCATCTGCTGGCTTTTGCAGGGGGCTAAGGTCAGAACCTGAAGGAGTGAAGCCTTGAAGGCGGGATTTCCGGTATTGACCAGCCCATAGGGCGTCCCGCTTTGCACGCCCTGGCTGACCTTCCATTGCACGTGCCTGGGGGGGACGGGGTAGGTGGAGGGGGGAGGGAAAAGGGGTAGATGGAGGGGGGAGGGGAAGGGGGTAGGCAGAGGGGGAGGGGGAGGGGCGGGATGTGGGCGGGGCCTCAGGGGTGGGGCTGACTCCTGCCCACTGAACTTAGCCGGAGCCCCACCGAGACAGCGGAAGGATTCTAGCCGCCTTGCTGGATCTGCTCCCTTCGAGGACCAGAGAAAGGGAAAGGTAACAGGAAAGGCAGCATGGCTGCCTAGTGCTTAGCCCACCGCCGGCACGCAGTGGGCTCTGTAAGTGTCAGCAGAGGGTGTCTGTGGCCTGCGTCTCTGGCAGAAGCTTTTGGAGAGAAGCTGGAGCCTGAGGATGTATTTATTCTCAGCTCTGTGGGGCCTCAAATCGTGCAAAAAACATTTCTCTTCACCTCAGGTATTTTCGCTGGCAAAAGAAGTTACGAACAAAAAAAGTTGTGGCAACCGATAGATAGCACTGAGCTGGACAAGGGCCTTGCCCCCTCCTGCCCCCGCCCCCGCCCCTCCTGAGCACACCTGGGGGTGGGGGAGGCGGGGGAGGCGGGCTGCACTGAGCAGTGCCCGTCTGGCCCCCAGGAAAAGTCCAGGCAGCTCTCAGCGGAGCGTGCGGGCAGCCGATCAATACGGGCTTCGGGCCGCCGAGCTATTATTCACGCCAAAGGGCCTTGTCTGGATGAAGGGAAGGAGGGGGGCACGAGTTCACAGAATCACAGCGCCGAGCTCTGCTCCTTGGCATTTCCCCATCTCTCTGGGATGCCTTCGTTATTTATGTAGTGCGAGTAACGAGGTGATTCAGGACGGGGAAGTGCTTTCCTCACAGCACGCTGGGCGCCTCCCCTCACCCCGCCCCCCAAGGCATGGCAGCAGGGGTTGTGTGAGATTTGGGCAGTGGTTCAGAGAGAGAGGCTCACCGTGCCTTTCCCTTCCTTTGGCTCCTCCTGAAGGAGGGCAGTGCTGGGCCCAGGGTGGCACAAAGTGGAGCCCACTTGTTTGCTCCCCTCCCTTTTCTTGGCTGTTCCCTGGGAAGAGCCTCACTAACCACGTCCTATCCTTGGAGGCTGGGGAATCCACCGCCCATAACCTACGCACCATCTGCGCCTCACCTCACCTCATCACACATTCCCAACCCACTCGCTCCACCCTCTTGGTTTTGCCCGCCATCTTGTTTTGGCGCCGCCATCTTGGTTCAGCCCACTTGCCTGTGATAACTTGGCTCTGAAATGTTCACCGTGTTACAGCGTCGGAATTCTAACAGAGGGGCGGTCTCTCAGTGCTCTCTGTGGCTTCCTCATTCCACAGGAGAAGAGGACACTGACCCAGGCTCAGTGATCCCGTTTTAATCTCAGGGCTCCAATCACACACACCCTTCTCCTGCTTGGGCCTGACTGCCCTGGTTATTCTGCAGTGTCTCCCTTCTTGGGCGAAATGCCTGTGGTTTTAAGTGCTTTTCTGAGCTGTCGACACAGTCACATGCCCATTTAAAAAAGGGTTAGCCTCTCGTGTAAGAGCCACCTGACTGGTCACATAATACGGAGGGCCTCTGGCAGATACCACTGGTTTGAGTCTGATGGGCCACAGGCAGAATAAAGCCATACAGACAAGAATGTTTCCTGGGGTCTGGTTTAAAGTTAGTGAGTTACAGCATAGGGTGAGGTCAAGTTTAAGGGTTGGCGGCTTGCCTCAGACAGTATCTTCAACCAGTGTTTCTGGAATCTAACTGGGCATGCCTCACCACAGAGTACTCCTTCCATCTGGGAAAATGACCCTGAGCCTGCCTTCTGCTGAGGTGCACAGGGCATCCTGAAGGTGGCAAGTTGTCATGTGGCTAATTTGAAAAGGACTGAAATGGAAGGTTGCCCCTCCACCTTTAGACTCTCGTGTGCCTGCCATTTCTGTGCCCACAGTGATGGATGAGGCTTGAGGCCAGGCCTCACCTGGCTTACGCCTGCTGGGATGGGCCTTTCCTGTAGGACCGTCTGTCCTTGGGTGGGTAATACTGAGCTGAGTAAGGAACATGTACTATGTCTTCCTTCACATCCATGGGGTCTAAGGGTTTATTCGCTCCGGGATGGGTGGGTAAGAGTAGAAACAGATTGGGAGAACGGTATGCTCCATTCCCTGATATTGACCATTATGCCCAGCCCAGAAGTGCTGATGAAGCAGACCTCTGAGAGTGGCTTCCATGGTTATATAAACTCATTGAAGCAAACAGAATGATCAGTGCAGCCAGCAGTTACAGCATGGAGAAGGCCACTGGCATCTGAAATGGCATGATGATGAGGATGGACCTTTTCCCCACACACGTATAGCCCACGGAAAAGCTGATCATTTCACCAACAGCTAGAAAGGAAAAACGAGTTCCTGCAAAGCATTGCTCCTGTTGTCCATCAGGGAAGCACTGTCTGCAATGAGCTGGTTGACTACACAGAGACCCCCCCGAACATCCTCTCATCACACTCTCCTGGACACACAAGTGTTCTTTTAAGAAGTCTCTACTTACTCTCACTGCAGACCACAGTCCTCCAACCACACACTCAGCTAAAGGGGGAGGCAAGTGGACCAGAGACATGGGACTCACAGTGGTTCCTTTGAAACCAGCCCCAGTCACAACCAACCAACCACCTCCTGGCTCTGGATACACATTTCTCTCAAGACAGCCATCTCCATGCCCAAGCACCGAGTGACCCCTGGGCTAGCTGTTCAGACCAAAGAGATGAGGAAATCATTGCTCGTAGTTAATTCTCAACTACGTAAACAAATGGCTATAAATATTTATGATAGGAAATTTCATTATTTAAAAATTCTGCTCTAAATTTCCAGCTAACTCCATGAAGAGTGCCTGCTGAACAGGTTGCAAATTAAGAACAATTATTTTTCTCTTCTGCATTTGAATAGAACTTACAGCAAAAGTCATTTAAAGGGGTTAACATCAACCTTAATTAAATATTAAAGTGTGCCTGTACCTGCTGCTATTGTTGCCCCTTCGAATAAGATATAACCTATTTTTGACAAGTTTTCATCTTTCTCTGTGGAAGACGCTACATGAAACCAAATCAGTGGCAAAGAGGAGAGTAATGAATAATCTATTTCATATTCCAACAGTACCCAGAGCTCAGAGTGGAAAAATATTCAGTCAGATGATGGCAAGAGGCTGCTGGGGTACCACATGACACAGCTAATGTTTAAATAATAATAATAAAAAAGCGATAAACAAATCATTAGCCCTTAACAGTTGTTTAATGCAATTTGTTAATGAACGTAATGGTGGGGACTAATAATGAAAGAAAATAAAAACGTCTAAACAGGCGCCAAGTTGCTGGCGATGCGCAATTATTTCCTTGTCAAGTTTTTATGATTTAATGAGCCCCTCTGGGACTGATGGCTGTCAGTCAGTCGTGACTTTTTGACACCATTACAACTTCAAATACAGCAGCAGGCAGGCTGTTTTCCTTGGATTTGAAATACTGAAATGATCTGACAGTTTTAAAGAAAAGATGTGCCAAAAAAAAAAAGGAGAAAGAGAGGGAGAGAAAGACAGTTGCCTTCCTTTCTTTCTTTTTCTCCCCCCCTCCCTTCTTCTATGGAGTAGATAATCTCTGGATGCTGTTTGGTAATAAAACCCAATCACTGAGGTCATTATCTGATGAGGTTTTTGGAACAGGCAGGCTTTTTTCCCCCCTCTTTATTTCTTTACTTAATGATAACCCTCAATGGGCTTGCCCCGCATGGGACGGCCAGAGCTGCACAATTTTGTTCACCATTAATTTCAGCCTTTGAAGCTCAGGGCTCAGAAGCAGTAGCAAAGCAAACCCCCCACCAAGCTGGTTCCAAAATAAGACAATCCAGCCTGCCTTAAACAGAATAGCAAATGGCCTCCCAGCCCAGGCAGGCAGCTGACGTCAAGCCCACTGCATTTGCAGGCATTCGCCTTCAACGTGGAACATTTAAAACTCTTTACAACTTAAGAGACTTTAATTAAATCGCTTTTGATTCTGGAGCAGGGTAGTGTCTGCCTTATTTATTCTGTCAGGGAAACTGTTGAGTCTGCAGTGAATTTTATATGGCAATGGCTTCCTCCTCCTCTTCCTCCTCTGCATCTTCATCATTACCCCCCCAACCCCGCATTGAACATCATTTTAAGCAATATTCCTAACTTTAGACATACTCATCAAGTGAAGTCTATATATTAAGTTCCTAGAACCTTTCACCTGCTTCGAATTTGTGGGCTTTCTTCCTTCTCCAGTGAAGCGTGGAAGAGCATGGAAGTAGGAACAACCTGTCTGAGGGCTCCTTTGAACTGCTCCTACAGCACCCAGGAAGGCCAGGCAATGAGTTCAGGGGACCTTTGGACCAGCTTCCTTCCTACAAGGCACACACTATGTCAGGTTAGGGGATCGCTCTCAAGGGGGGTTTGGTGGGGCCATTAGACCAAGGGTTATCTGTTCATATTCTTTCCACTCTCAATGTTGAATTGGGGCAAAATCTCAGGCAAGAGCTGATAAAGAGATAGAACCCCAAAGAAAAGGCCATTAAGAGGTGAGCAGCACACCTCTTCTCCCTTCATCTACTTCAACACAAAAACAAGGCTTTAGTGAAATACTAAGGAGCTGGAGAGTTGAGATGATCAGATCAACATGGCCTTGGGAAGAGTCTGGAAACATGAGGTATAGCCAGAGGACTGGTTACGCACTTGAGGTAAGATCAAGGGTTTCGAAGGAAGCCACCAGAGAGGCTGGGATACTACTTACCCACCATTAGTGTTTCAGAACGAGAAGGAAGTGGGTTGGTTTTCTTGCTTTTAAATAGTTTCTTTGATGTGTTTAGCACATACCAAATTCCACTATCAGAATAAAAGATTCTTGCTGAGTGGATCTCTTAAGCTGATAGGAAAATCAGTACAGCCTTCCCACTACTTGGCTGTCTTATTTCACTCTGTCAAAATCTCACACCATCCCTGCAAAGTAAAGGCTGAGGCTCTATTTACACAATACTAAATGATTTGTCTGAACGCATGCAGGTCCTGGCCTGCTTCAATAAGTACTATTTCTCTGGTGCATTTTGCCATTCTGCATTTCCTCCCTAAGCCATAATGTTTCTCTTCTGAGTTGGAAGGGAAAAAAATTAATTGCTGCATCTAGGTGATCTCCATCCATGGGCACAGGTGGTTAGCATTTTTTATGAAGAGAACAGGTTCGGTTTTCAAGGATTCAAAGTGTCCAATTATATTCAAAAGATAGTATGGACCCTGTAAGTGCTTATGAAGTCTTAAAGAAAAACACATTTTGCTTCATGACTAGAAGGAGAGTGACTTCAGCTTGGGCAACTGAAGCCTTACCACAAATGAACTCATTTTGAACGCAATTCCCAATTACCTTGGACAAAAAGAAAGCGAAGAAAATCACAAAGCACGTTAGAGATTTGAATACATAGTGACTTTCAGAAGGCTAGGCTGACATTTGTTAGTAAAAAACCTAAGCTGTCTTTTTGCAACACGCTGCAACCCCTTTCTTTTAAAGGAGGTCAGTGCACCTTTTTTTTCCATAAAGTTTATTTCCAGTGGATCATCCTATAGGACTCTACCATATTTATAATCACATTTGAAATTTCACACTGATGGAGTCATGTTCTTGCTCTTCCTGAAATATTCATGTTCTCTTTACATACTGAAATGGATGTGGAGAGAACCTTGTCAGACCTTTTGCATGTATGAGGGCTGCTTTTGGCAGTGCAAATATTAAAACCGAAAGGATACAGGAATGCTTACATAGGTCAGGGGAGAGGAGGTCACAATTAAATACAGTGCCAGGACTCACTTTGCCAGCAAGTTCTGGGGAGTATGGGATTTTGGGAAGGTATGGAACTATTTCTTGAAGCCAGTAATCAAAGTTGTGAAAAGTGGATATTGGGCAGGCTCAGCAAAAATAGTCTTGGGTGTAAAAAAAATATGCGTAGAAAAACAGAGAAAGTGCTAAGTCAATTTCCTGCACAACTGACATTAAATACCCACCTTTACAATGAAAGCATTCAGGCAGGTTGACTATATTCATTATGCTGGGGTAGGAACAGGGCTGGTTTGCTGAATCCAGTTGCTGGCTCCGACCCCTGCTTTTCTCTGCATTTTTATCCTTGGACATCACAGAAGGGCAATTGGGTGACAAGAAGTGTGTGACAAACAGCACAGCCCATCAGAAGCTCCCGTGACAGACTCATTATGTCCTCTCCCAAATCATGACCCCTGACATGTGCACAGGGCAAGGAAGAACGTCACCAAGGCTATTTTGGTCAGTAGATGAAATGACCAAAAGGCAAGTAAACACTCACCTTCCCCCATAAAAACAAACCTGGGTGAAGACAAACCTAGAAAAGGAAACCAACCCACATGCAAACAAGAATAAAAAATATTTTTTACACTCTTTGCACTTCAGCTGTACAGTGGTGAGAGAGAAAGAGGGTCATTCAGGGCCTGTCAGCGCAAAAGGATGATTCATGTGGCCGTTTTGTCTTAATTACTCAGAACAAGCCGCTGTTGCTGTTTATCAAGGGAGAGCAGATACATCAGTGTTTTCTGACAGAAAAAATGATCGCCATCAGGATGGTGACAACCAGGGTGATGGCCAGGATGACGACCAGGATGCGGTTCTGGATGATTCTAGGAGACAGAAAAGGAAAAAGAAATTCATACATGTGATTGGAGGACATTCTGACAAAGATCATTGAAGATCAAGGTGACTAATCAAATGAGGGCTTCACAGGTCAGGGTGGGGAGCCTGATGTGGGGCGCGCGCGCGTGCGTGTGTGTGTGTGTGTGACCATACAGCTTTTTGGCTCTACAAACCATCCATACGAAATGAACAACTACACAGTGATTGTCACACTGCACCCAGAGAAATGCTTCATGTGAAGCGAACGTGAATCAAATGGTTTTCTAGGTTCGCAATGCCATGTAGTAATCTTTAAGTGATCAAGGGCCCCATGAGGGCTTCTCTTTTTAATGTAAAATGTGAGACAAGCCTCATTTTTTTTGCAGTGTTTCTGGTTAAGGTAAATGACTCCAAGGAAACATATGTCAGTGGGTACTTACCTATATCAAAATACCTGGGGAGAAGTAAAAAAGAGACTTAGGAAGAAGAGGGCAGGATTAAGAAGCAAGTGTCAAGCTTGCAGCTCAGGCTGTGAAACCATCATCTGTCACTGAGGCTCACGCTCTGTGATGCTGGGAGAAAATGTTACATTTATTCCATATTAAAAAAAAAGATGGAAATGTAAAAATGAGAAACAATACAAAGTACTCCGGTGCCTCATAGGCTTTAGTTGGTGGGCTCTCACCTCCAGAGACACCATCCCCCTCAGCTCTGGCTTTGCCAAATGCTGATGGGGAACTTGAAACTCAGACAGAGAATTGGAGTGGAGAGACCTGCTCCAAGATGCCCACAGAGAGCTTCTGATGAAGTTGTTTCATAATTTGTTACCTCATTCTGAGAGAAGTGGTTAAACATCAGAATGCTTTGTTGAGACTTTCAATGGGAACTGAGATCAAACAGCCTCACCCACACTCACTCCCACAGAACCAACCACACAAAAATAGAGAGAGAGTGGTTGGCAGTCTGGCTAGCTGTCCACATGGCTAAGACCCTACAGCAAACCCTGTCTGCCCGTCCTCCAACTATCAAGAACTAAAAAGGCTGCTGTCTTAGTCTAGACACAAGTCACTGGCCTGGGCCTCCGTCCATAGGAAGAGCTAGGTGGGACTAGCAAGGTACCCAGTTTAACAGAGACCCGTCCCCTCTATTTCACATCTTTGAGAAGAAATGTTTGCAGGATGTTCTCAGCCTTTTCTAGCTTCTGGATAAGTTTCTTTCTTGGAGGGATGACGACACCCTTGTGGATTCCTCCTTGCCCACCCCCTTCTTGCCCAAACCTAAATGGATGGATGGAGACCATCACATCAGACAGGCTTACTCCCTTTTGCCCCCTGGAAGGACTAGCTCCCTCTCTTCCTGACAGGTTACAAAATGATCACATTTGCTGACACGTCTTCCGCAAAACTGCTTTAGTGCCTGTGTCCACTTTCCTGGAAGGAGATGAATGATCCGCTCGGTCCTCATTCATCACATACGGCTCAGCAAAGATCTGTCTCGTTTATTTCTCCCCTTCCCCACTAGAAAGGCTGCGCCCCGACATTAATTCTTCTGCGATGACAGCTAATTCAGACTTAACAGGCCATATTTACTCGGGAGGCAGGAAGATTCTCCACCTCCAAAATAAATAAATAAGAACAGGACTTCACAGCTTGTTAAAGTGGGGCTAATTATTAACATTGATTGGTGCTAGTTGGTAGCTTGATGGAAAACCCAAATTGATTTTTCCCCCTTTTCTCTGAAAGGGCCAGAAGTCTTCAGAACAGTCCCTGCACATCCTGTGCGCCCACGTCACTGTCACAATCTCTATTTACCACAGTCACCCGCATCAGACTTGCAAAGGAAATCAGCAAAATTGAAACTCAGCAGTGAACAGATTAAAAGCATGAAAACTCTTTAAAATTCTGCCTTAAGTACTACTCGGTAGCATGTCTCTTGGTTGACAACCATTTTATTTGTGGGTTGAGGGCCCCAAGGCATCCATGATGCTCATTTATAAAGGATTAACTGTGGATGTTACTTGTTTAATCTGAGGCATGGTTAGGAAAACAAATGCACAGGAATCCTAAATTCTCAGCTCTTCTGTGGCCTTCCTAATTGGGCTCCCCTCATCCCAAGGCAAAGAGGTGTGCACTTCACCCATCTTTCCTGGCAGCTTATATCATTAGTTCACTGAACAGACACCCCATTCCAAGACAGGCGACCTCCCCACCGGGTCACGGAGGATCAGAAAGATTGAATTGCTCACTCCCTCTCCAGGCCCAGTGCACGGCACAGTTACTGACACATACAACTGTCCAAAAGGTGATAATGAAAGAATGCAGCCCCCATAACTGCCATCTTTCCATTCAAGGAAGAATGAAGATCTGTGTAAATTTAATTTGCAGGAAAATGTCAGGGAGTCTGTGTAGGAAAGGCTTAAGTTAAAAGTTGAAATAAACCCCCAAAGATGGCACTTCACACCACCATGCATTCTCAGAGCACTACTGGTTCTTCTCTGTGATGCCTGGAGAAACGATGGTCCTCATACAAGTGAGGGGTGTGTTGGTGGTGGATTGAGGAGGTCGGCAGGACAGAGCATTTGCTTTAAAACAAAGGCTGGTAGATATTTGGGATGAAGGGTTTAGAGAGCAAAAAGAGTTGGAGCAGACGGAGTGGGAAGTAAGCCTGGCTCTGGCCAGGCCATCAACCCAGCTATGGATCTCAAAGGTGTTGGGGAAATACAGCACTGCTAAGAATGGGAAAAATGAGCCATTGGGGCCCTTGAGTAGACAGGACTGAGCCAATCTGGGGCATGTGGAGGAGAAAGGCTGGCATTGGTGGGCCATGCTGTGTGGCAGCCTGAGTACGGTCAGAGCCAGGGGCTGCTGGCAGGTACTGCTGTAGGCAAAGCAGAAAGGAATGCAACGTTTGGAGAGAATCAGAAAAACAGTGGGGAAGAGGGGTTCCCAGTTAGAGAGCCAGAGAAGGAACTTTGGGAAGGCCCAAAACAGCTTTCTTCTTAACTTTGGGGCACGGGGGTGGTGGGTGGGATTTCTGTTCAACTAGGTATGCAGCAAGCAGACTTAATCTCCCTTTTGAAAATGCAAAGTGTGTTTACCCAGTAAATAATTTAAGAAAGAATATACACTTGAAAGAAGACATCCATTGAACCAGCCAGGCTAAATTGCCTCCAGGCAAAAACTTGTGCATTTGCATGCTGCATTCTATTAAGTGAGCACACTGTGGCTTTAAAAGAATGCAGAGCCAAATTAAAAGGAATGTGGGCCCAAAACATCAAGGATTCTCCAAGTTTACATTATGAATCACAGTGCTGTTGATACAAGATGAATTAACCATTTACTTTGAGGCTGAACTCACAAAGTACTATTGAAAATACTGATCCTGTGTGGGGAACCGGGGAGCAGCTCATCTTTCCTTTGCCAGTCTCTTTCCCCCCTGGAAACAAGCTACTACGTGTGGCAGCCGGAATCGCAGAAGACTGGTTAACGTGCAGTAGGCTGCTGTGACACCTGGCTTAGTTCTCTGCTGTCAGTTGAGGGGCCCAGGAATTCCACTGCAGCGGGCCTTCCCAGCATTCGCCAATACCCAGTTCCCCACTTCTGGGCTCAGACTGCCCTTACCAGTCCCTTGATGTTACTTGTGGCCATGTGACTTGTTCCAGTCAATGAAATGTGAGCCAAGTGTTTGACTCTCCAGCGGACTCTTCCCTTGCTGTTCTGACTTGGGAGGCTGTAGGCTCCAGGAATGCAGTTGCCAGATGGTGGAGATCCCTTCTGTCTGAATCCCGGCATCACCACATGGAGGGCCATTGCCCTGGAGACTCACCTGGACTCACCATGGATGTGTATTAAGCCAATGAGATTTGGGAGTTGTTTGTCACTGCAGCATGATGTAAACCATCCTGAGTGATACACTACCCACTCCCATTTTCCAACAATATGGGGTGTTCAGCCAAGCCAAGTGAGACTCTGGTTTAATGTGTTCCAGAAGCCAAAGTATAATGAGGATTGATAGGACTTTTCTTTAAGAAACAGGCTTTTGCCTCTTGGTTTTCAAAAGCTGGGATCCTCTTCCATCCATATTTGGTCATAGTGCCTCACTGAAGACTGGAGTTTCTTGTAGCTATAACCAATGCCACTGTGTGCTGATGAACGATGGTATCACACGTGATGTTTCAGAAGGTTCAGCTAGGCACTCTGCCTTCCAGGTACAGCAGACAGATATATGTTGGATACATTCATTTATTCATTCCAAACATTTGACACAAGCCCTTCTCCAGGGGTACAGCTGTGACCTAGGTTAAGATAGTCAGTGTGTTCCATGCTCTTGGCCACCGTAACTGGAGTAGGCATTATAACTTCACCCAGTACAATAGAGGGAATGTAAGAAGCTTTGACTGCAATTCTGGGTCATCTGGACTGTTGGCGTATGGATGTTAGGCCTGGGTCTACTGCAGCCATTTTGTTTCCAAGAGGAAAATCAGTCTAAGAAAGAAACTGACTCACAGAAGACAGAGGATTGAAAGTATGGCAGAGAAATAGGAAGCTGAGTCCTGAAGACATGATGAGCCTCTGTGTCGAATCACCTTTCCTTTGACCTGTTAGTTATTTGAAAAATAAATTAACTCTATTTTTCAAGTCTGTTTGAGTGAGGAGTTCGTTATTTATGACCAAAAAGCATTTTTAGGTGGATACACCCTGATCCCAAAATGCAGTTTTTGATCTCTTTTCCTTACTTTGGAAGAGGTAGGGAAAAGAAGAATCTCCTGACCATACCCCTCTTTCACTCTTAATTTCCCCATGCATCTCTCTTACTACTCCACTTACTAGACAGTTGCATGATTTTCTGTTTCTATGCAGGGTTCTCCAATAAAAGGTGGACCTTCTAGGGTCTGAATCTCCTTTGTCTTTTGCATTCCCAGTGCCTAAAACAGAGCTTGGCATAGATAGTCTTAAAAAAAAACCCAAAAACAAAAACAAAAAAAACAACTTGCAGAATGCATGAGTGA